TATTTACTTTGCAATAAAATGTTATTTTGAAATATGAAATTTTAATTTTGTGGTTCAACCATGGGGAATAGGAATTAGTTAGCCTACCCAAAGAAGTTAAAGGATCTATAAATGGTCTAGTGAGGTAAGTCTGCAAAAACTAAGTAACCTTTCATTTTTTTCTTTCCTAGTTCTCTATAATCAAGTTTGTTCCCAAGTTTCTTGGCTTAAGAAGGAAGCCCCAAAGTTGTCTTACAGTCATGTAATCAGAATGAATTTTTTTTATCTCACTGCATAAGAAATTATGCTGTTTTCTTTATTTAAAATCAATTCTTTAAAGACAGAAAACAAATAAATGACATGCATTCATTTGATAGAGTGTCTAAAAACGTTTTTCTGCATTTGATATAGTGTCTAAAAACTTTTTTCTGCCTCAAGGACATCCCTGCTATATTCAAAGTATGCATAAGAATGGACATAGTTTAGCAGGAGCCAAGAAGTAGAAAAGCATAAGATAAATAAAAGATCCTGTGGATTGCCAAGGTGGCTGGTATGGTTTGAGTTTTAGACTAAAGAATCTGGTCACGCATTACTGGAGAGTCACTAAAAAGTGTTCTCACTCACCTTAAATTTTTACCTTAGACAGCTTATTTTGATGGTGAAGACTGTCTAGAGGGGGAAGGGTTAGGAGATGAGAGCCCACAGAGTATTTAGAGAGTTTTTATAACTGTCTTGGAAAGAAGTAATAACGACATGAATCAAAGAGTTAGGAGTCAAAAAAGCAAGAAGAGACAGAGGTGAAAGATAAAACAAACTAACACCATGATTATAAAAGCCTAAAAGCAAGGGAAAGGAGATGGTTCAATTTGGATAACTTTGAAATAGTACTTCTAAAAATAAGTATAAAAATTAAGAGAAAGATCTGATTTGGGAAAGAAATGATGACCTAGAAATGACAGTAAGGAGGTAGGTAAAAACTTGTTAACAGTCAGCTGCAAATTCATGACTGAAAACTGAGAGAGAAGAGTATGAAGACAAAAAAGAAAGAGGCTGAGAAGCGAACAGCGAAGGGGATACCCATTTTATAAGGGTAGGAAACAGAAGATGAGCCAGTGAAGACAAAGTTGGAGTAATTAGAGAATTAGGAGTTGACCTAGGTAGTTTTAGTGTCATAGAAATTTGTGGAGAGAAATATCTTAAAAAGAGAATAGACAACAGTATTAAATTTTTAGAGGATTTTCAGGGCAGTAAAACGATTCTGTATGATACTATAATGGGAGGTCTATACCATTACACATGTGTCAAAAGCAATAGAATGTGTAACACAAAGAGTGAACTCTAGTGTAAACTATGGACTTTAGTTAATAATGTATTGCTATTGGTTCATCAATTGAAAAAATGTATCGCATTAACACAAGATGCAAATAGCAGGGGAAATGTAAAACTGCTCTAATTTTAAAACATACCTATTAAATTAAATTTATTTAATTACATAAATTAATGAGGCTGGTGAGAACTGAAAGAACTTTAGACTTGATGGTCAGGATACTAACCTTCAGAAGATAGTTGCAGTAGAGTAGTAGAGGTAGAAACTAGATAGATTTGAGGTGAGCATGATAGCAAAAAAAGTATGATTCCTACCCTCAAGGATTTGATCTAGTACCATAGATAAATTATTATGGAGAAGAGTCAGAATGAATACCCCACAGACTACTTAGAAAGTTCTTGTAACTCTTGGAAAGTAGTAGGAATAGCTAAACAATAAGAGTAGTAACAGAGCAACCCCTCCCACTGTGGGAGCTTTTCTGTCCTCTCAATAAATTCTGCTTAAGAAAAAAGAATAGTAATAATAATACAATATGATAAATGCTGATAGGGAAGTGTTACAGGTTCTGTAAAAGCATATGGAAGGAGATTCAAACATAGTCTGGAAGGAGGGTGGAAAGCAGGGGTAGTTTAAAGTAAGGCTTTCCCAGAAAGTGATGGTTAAGCTAAGACTGCAAGAGTGAACCGGAACTATCCTTTGAGAAAAAAATTTCAGCCTAAGATTATTTCACTGTTAAATAATAAAAAATAAAATTAAGCAAATAGAATTCAATTCTAGACATAAGAAAAAGAAAATGAAGCTTGTGAAAAAGAAAATAATGGAATAGAAATTAATGAGTTAGAATACAGAATATAATAAATTGTGAACTATTTATTTGAAAAGACTAAGTAGATTGCATCAATAATTTTTTTTAAAAAATCTCACGAAACTAAAATGAGAAAAGGAATGTAATAGAGAACATGATACCATGTGTGAATTTCTACTAGTACTTATTTGAATATCTCAGTGAAATGGATTTTTGGAAAAGAAAAAACAAAAACAATGAAATTTACCCAAGAGCTAACAGAAAACCTGAGAAAACTAATAAGGATGAAACAAACTGAAAGGGAAAAAAAAAGCAATTTTACGGATTCTTTTGAATTTCAAGCAACCGATAATATTTTACAAAGTTAGATATAACATAAATTCTAAAAACATAACAGGAATAGGACAAAAAATAATAGAACCTGCTAATGGGTAGAACATACCCTAACTCAAAATGAAATTACTCTAACACAATAAGATAACTGGAAGATCAGGTAGGGTTTATCCCCAAAATACAAATATTATTTAATATTACCAATCTAGCGATATTAAAATACAATACACACCAAATTAGTTAATAAATCAAAACTATATGAAAATCTGAATAGATGCCTGAAAATAATTCTGATAACAATTAATGTCCTTTCCTTATAAAAACTCCTAGATATTGGCTACTTTCTCTGCATGATAAAAAACTATCTATCTTCATCTTTAAAATAAAAAAATTAAAAGTTAAAAAAATTATTTTAAATCATTTTTCCTTAATGATGACACAGAAGAGGTGTTTCCATTAAAATCAGGAAAGACAAGGATGCCCACTGTTACTATACTATTTAATACTATTCTGCAACTTCTGGTCAGTACAGTAAAACGTGATATAAACAAAAACAAGTATGAGTATTAGGAAAAGAGATTAACTGTAGATAATGATTATATATTTAGACAAATCCTAACAGAAAGACAATAAAATGTTTAAAATCAAAGAACATTCACTAAGGTGTGTGGATACAAGATAAATATTAAAAATAGAAAAACCCAGAAGATAAAATAGGAGAAAAGTCCTGTTAAGTATATCAGCAAAACAATAAAACATCTAGAAATACACATACAAGTAAATGTCTGTGTTTCAGAATGAAAAACAGCATGATTATGAATGGAAAGAATGATGATGATAATGATGCCTATTTTTTCCATATGCGATTTTTATAAAAAATCCAATCAAAATGGAATTTTTTTTCCCTAAAAAACAATGGCATAATTCTAATATATATCTAGAAGAATAAACAGGTAAGATTATTGAATAAAAGAATACTGCGTGCAGGTGGGGTGAGAAAGCAGACTAGGCCTATCAGATATTAAAATATATTATAAAGCTATAAAACACTGAGCAGGGTAATACTTGCACAAAAATGATAGAAAAATCAACAGAGATAGCTTTGAAGCAGAGAGCTTAATGTCTGATAAAGGAAACAGCAAATAAGTAGGGAAGGTATAGTGTATTCAACAAATTACAGACTTTCTCCAACATTCAAACTAGTTTCAGTTACCATTCCACAAATCAAAATGTATTCCAGAAGGAATAAAAATTAAATGTAAAATAATTACTACTTCAATTAAATACATAAAGATCTAGAAGGAAGTATAGTAAAATGTTTAACTAATTTCAAGATGGAACTCTCTAAACACAATAGAAAATTGAGGAAATCCAAAGACAGATATGACTACATAAAAATGAAAACCCTGTATGTTAAATGATCTGAAGTTGTTGAAAACTGAAAGTTAAACAAATAATCAGGAAACCTCCCACAAACGGTACCAAAGTCCATCCTTATTCCTCTTTATATTGTACTTTTTCGTATTCCTCTTACTGTAAACTTTAATGTTTGTTATCTGCCTTTAAACAAAACAGCAAAAAACAAAACTTTCCGCAATTATTCTTCTTTCAAGCTACAGTCCTATTCCTCTCATGCTTTTCACTGCCAAATTTATGGAAAAATATAATCTTTACTCACTTTCTATAATTTCTTTCTTTCTTTTTTTTTGTGTCAGAGTCACTCTGTCACCCAGACTGGAGAGCACTGGCATGATAATGGCTACTGCAGCCTTGACCTGCTGGGCTCAGGTGATCCTTCCACCTCAGCCTTCCGAGTAGCTGGGACTACAGGTATGCACCACCACGCCTGGCTACATTTTTGATTTGTAGATACAAGGTCTTGCTATGTTGCCCAGGCTGGTCTCAAACTCCTGGGGGCTCAAGCAATCATCTCACCTTGGCTTCCCAAAGTGCTGGAATTACAGGTGTGAGCCACTGTGCCTGGACTTAAAATAATTTTTAATTTATTTGGTTATTATGGAAAATATAAAACAGAAAAAGTAATCTATATATCAATAACACTGTTAACATTTGTTAGAAGAAAGCTTAGTATAGAAATTTTAAAGAAAAGAGAAAGATGTAGAATTGTTTCATGTGGGAATGGCCTGAATCGTCTTATTCACTCTGCATTGCTATAAAATAGTGATATCATGGTGAGTAGCTTGTTTCAGACTAGCTGCTCAATCCATCACAATCACTAGATTTAATGAATAAGAAATGTGACTTGTGTCTAAGTATGGGAAAAATCAAAGGACATTAGTTTTCTGTGATTCAGAAGATGATTCTGAAATGTATAAAAAGGTATAAACAATTCAAAGATACCAAACATTTTAATGCAGTCCTAAATTTTTCTAAAAATATTATTTCTAGTTCATTTCTATAAACGAAATAGTTTCTGCTCAGAAGGGTATAACATAATAGCATAGTATTATATACTATTTAGAATATTATTTACAGTATTATTCTACTTAGACAGCTGGAAGTTACTAGTTATATGAAGGTTTTCCAATAACTTACCACTGTCTTGAATCCAAGTTCCTTAGTTCTCTAAGAAGCTTTTCATTTTTCTTCAGGAGATGAAAGCTCCTCCTAAATAGAGAGATTTATAAACATTTTCATCACCTTTGCAGTGAATGACATGACAGTTCCGGAAATACTTTCCACTCTACTCATGCAACTTTTACACTTTTCTTGCCTTTTCATACTTCTAACACAAAGGAGAACAGACCCTAAAAAAAATGTAAAGAATATATGTCATTATCAGGCCTTCAAACATCTCTGCTAGTGGATTTTATATATTGGCCACTTCAATCTTTCCTTGCAGATGCTGTGAGTTTCCCAAACTCACATCCAAAAAAATGAACAAAATTATCTGTAGGTTCCTTCTCAAGAGTTTCATAAAAATATGTGAGCAAACTGTATTTCATGAGAAAAAAAATTCACAGAAATAAAATTATTGCCAAGTTATGTATAATCCAGATGGAATGTTTTCTTCCTTGTTTTACATTGTATGTATTTTTTTTACACTATGAAGCAATGTATACATTTTACCAAATCTGTTCTATGGGTGCTAAATATGCACAAATTATTTTCACAAAAATCAATGCTTGCTCTGGTAAAACATAGCTTCTCATTTTTAATTTTTCTCAAAGGACAACATATTATGGATAGTTCCACAGAAAAAGAGAGTAGAATGCACTTATGCTGTAACTGAGTGGCAATTACCTATGCTTGGACATACCATATGGCAAACTATGTTCCTGATATAACGTAGCTTTCCTGTAAGGCAGAGGAGATTCTCTTCTAATAAACTGATAGGTTTAAGTCAAGCAAGAACAAAAATACTAAGCAAGCAAGTAGAACTCCATTTCGATGCTTTACATACATTTGAATTACTTTTAAGATTTATTAGTTCACTCATATCCGAGCTTCCCCTACTATGAAACGAACAGAAACAATACATTAAATAATGATGTTCCTTCTATTTTCCTACAGCTTTTCATAACACAGAAACTAAAAACTAAATGCACATTAATGGTTTACATTAGTATATAAAATCAGTGTTTTATGCATATTATCTAATTCAATTCTTACCACTATGTGAGTTGGGAATTACTCTCAATTTGTAGACTGCAGCTTAAGGCTCAAAGGTTAAGTGACTGTGACCTATGTCTGCTGATTTAAGTACATTGCTCTTTTCATTTAACTCCTACCTAACTTACTTGAAGTGTTTCATGTTTATTGTAGGTTTTTAATAAGGTTTTATAGCATGAAGAAAACAAAATGGTAAAAAAAAACCTCAAGCAAAAAACTCAGATTCTATTTTTGATTTCATCCTGAATCTTGAGTTAATTTCCCAGATTCAAGCCAGAAATGTTCATATTGTAGCTGACCTAAAAAAAGATTGTTAGGTTTATATGAAGGTTGAAAAAAATTATGCTTTTTTAATCATATGAGCTATAATTTCTAAGTCAAAAGGTTCTAGTAGTCACTATGAAAATGTTAATAATATACTGGGTTAAATTGTCTTTTAATTCCCCTAAATCCTGATATAACTCAGTAGTCTAAAAAAAAAAAAAAATCTGCCTAATAGTCAAAGAACTAACTGGTAGATCAAATTTTGTGAGGAAAAAACAAAACAAAACAGAGACTAAAATGCTTATAAGAAAATGAGTAAGACTAACATTAAAAAAGAAAAAAAGGTCTCCTAGATGCTTACCGTTTGTCCCAGGAATTCATTCCCAATATACTAAGAAGCAATCTGCAATAGTAAAATGCTGACTGAGGTTTCTGAGGTGTTAGTTCATCTTGTTCCACAGCTTTCATATTTAAGTCATTAAAGTGTTTCTCAACAAATTCTTTTTCCTCTGTATGTTGCTTAAGGATAGCATTAATAACATCATTTTCCTGTTTTTCAGAAATGCACACAGGTTGTGGAGCAGGAATATTAAGTGAGATTCCAGTTCTCTGTAAGCATTCAGGACTAGTGACACCCAAATACTGCAAGAGCTCATCAAGAACATCTTCTTCATCTCTTATCGTGTCCCAAGTTGGTACAGTTTCTCTAAATCTTTTAAACTGGAGGGAAAGTCCATCTTTTACTGCTATATCTTCTAAGCATTCATTAGTTGTAGGAGGCTCTTCTGGCTTCTCTTGGTGAGACAATGAAAGTATGAAAGATGTAGGTTCTGACAATCCACTTACAGGAGGTGGGCCATACAGTATGGCAGAATCCCAAGAATATTTTCCAGAGAGATCACGTACTATGATTCTGACATTAGAATTGGCTGATGCAAGGCCAGCAGATAAACCTCCTCCAGGCATATTCTCTTCTGATCTGATCTGGATACAGGACACTAAGGTTGTATTGTTCAACACAAAGAACTGGATATTTGGACTCTCAAAGAGTTCAGGAGAAAGTTCAGTACTTTCACTGTAATGATTGTCATGATTTTCACACACCTGACTTGTTAACATAGCAGGACCACCACTCATTGGATAATGGCCCAAGTGATTTACCAGATGTGTAATAACAGTGCGAGCTGCTATAGAGATTAATCCTTGTTGCATCTGAGTTCTCACTAGAAAAGAAAAATATAAATGAGTGGGGAATACTGCTGCTTCCTAGGGAGTCATATAACAATGGAACATTACACAACAAATAGGGATTTCTTTACATTGTTAATATGTCTAATTTAGATTCTGTATTACAGAAATGAATGATGGCAAAAAAGAAAGAAAAACATATTTTGATAAAGTTTTATTTATAAGGTGAACCTTTTTGAAATTTCTGCTAATGGACCCATAATTTAAACCAAAGTCTTTAAATATAGATCATTTTATTTTATTTTTTTGAGTTGGAGTCTCAATCTGTTACTCAGGCTGTTGTTATACAAAAGCAGCCATAATGATACAACAAGATTGGATCCCAATAAAACTACTTATAAAAACAGGTAGCAGGCATGGTTCTTAATTTGCCAACTCCTATAAAATACAATTGTCAAAAGTGCTCTTTAAACAAATTTGACCATGTATCTCCCCTTCTTTTTTTGGTGGGGGAGTTTGAAGTCTCACTGTCGCCCAGGCTGGAGTGCAGTAGCAAGGTCACAGCTACCGTAGCCTCAACCTGCTGGGCTCACAATCCTTCAGCCTCAGCCTTTCAAGTAGCTGGAACTACAGGCATGTGCCACCATGCCCAACAAATTTTTTTATTTTATTGTAGAGATGAGGTCTTTGAAGGAGACCAGAGCATAAGCTGACAAGGCCCTTGTGTTCTTGGCTTGTGTTCAAGGAACCAAGGCTATACTCCCTCATCAAGGAGCAGATGTGACGTGGGGAGCAGACAAGCACTGCCACTGTAGCAGGCCTTGAGTACTCCAGGCTTGTAGGTAATGGTCTCACCTGGAAGCTCTGCATTCTAACCAAAGACAGGTGAGGGATGCAGCCTGCTACGTAAAACGTAGTGGACCTTGAGTACCCCAAGCTTGTAGGCAAAGTCTCGCTTGGAAGCTCTGCATCCTAGCCAAAGGCAGGCTGTGAGGAATGCAGCCTGCTACATGAAGCGGTGTCTTGAATGCCCACACATCCGGGTGCACATAGTACAGATAAAGTCTTAGCTACAATAAAGTCCTAGGTACAAAAAGATAAACATAGAACAGCTCACCTTCTAGTAACAACATAAGTCCATTGTGGTTCGCTCATCTCCCCTAACCTTGATTTGTTACTTTATAATAAAGCAAAGCGACATGACATCAATCACACCTGGCCCGGATGCCTGGCCCAAAAGCTGATACTGCTTGTTTTTACAATAACCCCTTGTACAGCTTTGCCCTAGTTGTGCCCTATATAAGAAGCATGCTAAATAATAAATGGGCTCTCACCTATTGAGGAGAGAGACCTCCCAATTACCCTGTCTCTTGTCTTTCTTTCTCATACCCTCCCCTCACCTCAGGCCCTGCTCTGTGGAGGCTGGACCTCTGAAGGTTTTGCCAAGTTGCCCAGGCTGCTTTTGAACCCCTGAGCTCAGGCAATCCTCTTGCCCCCACCTCCCAAAGTGCTTGAAAGATCAAAAGTATGTCAATCACACGAAATCCCTAAATGCACAGATTAAAAAGTCAATGAAATCTATCCAACTGATGTATTTCTTATGTCATGAACAGAATCTAGATTTAGAGATATAGTTTACAGTACGCTTTAAATGTCATTTAATTATGGCTCTAATTGATGACGGCAAAGTGTTTCAGAAAGAAGAGATAGTCCAACTAATCTTTAGGAGTCAGAATCAATTTTGACAGTGAGTTAGTATAGCCAGTACCAGAATATATGAAGAAAATTTTATTTTAAAGGCAAAAATAGGGCAACCCCTTTCGGGTCCCCTCCCACCGTGGGAGCTTTTCTGTCCTTTCAATAAATCCTGCTTTCTAAAAATAAATAAATAAGTAAATAAAGGCAAAAATATCTGATGGATCTGCTTGCATATTATATTTTTCTTAGATGTTCTTCAGGGTCATTATGGTCCAGCCTAGTAGCTGGTCATATGCAAGAAGCATTTTTTTCCTTCCTTCAGCACATTAGAAAAAGCAAAAAGGTAATAAGCATATTCATATGAGCACTTCAAAAAAATTATAGGAAAGAGAGAACTCAAAGAATAGTAGTCTAGAAGGCCTGGAAAGGCAAGATGCCCTAATGTCAGAATATGAAAAAGGAGGTGAAAAGGAAGGAAGGGAAGAAGGAAGACAGAAAATAGAAAGAGAGAGTAAAGGGGAAAGGAAAGAGACAGTGACTTCTCAAAGCCTACTAGTTAAGACTGCCAGTGTAATTCTAAGGAGGGTTGATGTGGGAGCCAGTTCTGGATTGAGTGGTGTCAGGGAGTGAGGACAATTGATTGATGGTTATCTATGCTTTTCTTCAAGAGGTGGAAGGAGAGTTGTCACTAGTAAAAAAACATTAGATGCTCATGTTAGAAGAGGATGTTTGGTGTTATGTGTTATGTGTGTATGCATATGGCCATAGTGCTATGGTTATAGTGTTCTTATCTCTATTTAGTTTCAAACGTAATTATAGAGTGATTGTGTTTCTGCATTATTCTATCACAGTTACAGAGTGATCATGTCTGAGTACTGTTTACACTCTCTGAAAGTTAAATCAGTCGGGAACACTAGGACCTACCTGCCAGAATAAATAAGCATTTGTCAGAATAAATATAGATGTAAGAATGACCTAATTTACATACAATAAATTTCCCAATTGTAGGTATTTAATTTAATGGGTTTTGGTAACTGTATATAATTACTACCAACATAATCAATATAGAAAAATTCCCTCATAAAAAAGAATAAATTTTATGTAAGCTATACCTCAATAAACTTAAGTTTAAATAAAAAATAATAACTTGTGCACTGTTAGTATGATTACCTAAGAAGAGGCAAGAGAGAACAATAGTGTTACACTTACAAGATTATAGTCCTCAAGATGCAGAACTAATATCACTAGGTATAGGCAGAGAGTAAGAAGCCAACCAGTCGCTATGCCACTGATACCAATGACATCTCCAATTCCAAAAACTCGGGCTTTGGTTGATTTAAAAATGTTACTGAGTATTACAATTTTAATCTTCCATTATCAATTAAGTTATGTCTACATGCATCTACATATAAACATTTCCTAGTTTACTTTAAAAGTTCCAATTATATTGAGATGTTTTAAAATTATTTTTATAGCTAGTTCTGAAAATCAGTCATTCAACTAGATAATAACAGTAAATGATTAATCTAACTTTTCCATTTTATTTATTTATTTTTTGAGTAGGAGCCTCAGTCTGCCACCCAGGCTGGAGTGCCATGGCACACTCATGGCCACCCCAGCGTAGACCTGCTGGGCTCTGGAGATCCTTCCGCCTCAGCCTTCCAAGTAGCCGGAACTACAGGCACGCGCTACCACACATAACTAATTTTTTAAAAAAATTTATTGTAGAAATGAGGTCTCACCAAATTGGCCGGGCTGGTCTCAAAACCTGAGGCTCAGGCAATTCACTTGCCTTGGCCTCCCAAAGTGCTGGGAATACAGGCTCCGAGCCTAGCCTAACTTTTCCATTTTAAAGAATGTAAGCAAAGTAAAAAGATATATATAACTGAATGATGAGAGAGGGGTGATTTGAATCTAGTGTCTGCTTTCCCTTCTCTAATTATAACTTAGAATATAATAAACGTTCATACTATAAGAGAATAACCTAGCTGGTATTTCTCATTTTGCACATGAAAACAAATGCGTTCACACAGTTAAGTGACTTGCCTATCACAGGAGGTTTCACATCAGGCTAGTCTTTTGCTTCCCAGTTCAGTGTTATTTTTTCCTTTTCCATACTTAAACTGCCCTTTTCTTTGTGACATAAGAAAACAGTGAATTCAATATTTTTTTCTGAGTATAGATACTTCAAAAAAAGTATTACTTAGCATAAATCATTACATAAAAAGCAAAGATCATCAAAAAACTCACTTAAATAATACTAAATCATGTCTTAAATGGTAACAAAAATTACAATGAATGATTTTTAATATTCTGATAAAGAAATTTTTTCCTATTCTTTACTTTCCTTTTCTTCCTTTTGAGTTGCAAAGTTAAATAGGTGACTCATTTAAGCACTGAATCTTCTTTGCAGAAGCATAAAAGTTTACCTTCTGAAGAAGAAAGTAAGTATAATTCAAAAGAATCAATCACAGAAAAGAGAAGAATCTCTGACTTTGGCTTGTTCTGTAATCATGAATAAAATACATAAAACTGCTTAAACTATTTTTCTATAAGAATAACATTTATTTATTTGTAAAGGTAAGTTACAAGCTCTTACATACAAAGTAGATATAAATCATAAAATCAGAAACAATATAAATCATTCCACTTTGAAAGCATTATAAGAACCTAGGTCTTGTGAGTTCCCTTTTACAATGTGCTTATAAATAAATTCCAAGAATGAGCCAGTTCCTAAAACATAAACCTACAAGCCCAGGTACCTGTCCATTCCATATTTGCAAATCTGTTGTAATACTAATATGGAAAACACGTAAAGAGTAAATTTAGATTTCAGATGTAGATAAAAGCATTTTCTTTCCTAAATTGTTTCTCTAAATTCAGGATGTAAGTCTATATATAAAGGATATAAAGGATAAAAATCTCTCAAATTGTTAATTGAGCAATTACATTTATTTAGACTTATTTTTGAGTTATAAGTTACAGAATATACATATCTCTCTTCTACTTATCTACTAAGATATAAAGAAGACATGAAATTCTCTAATTTAGAAATTCAAAATGAAATTCTAAAATAGCCAGCCTTGTGAGAAAATGCAAAATGAAGATATCGATGCTTTGTGTAACTAGCATTCATTTAAATAAGTCTATTCAGGGTTGTCTTTTCAGATAGTCAGATTAAACAATCCCTACAGTATTTGCAGCAAACCCATAATTACAGGTTATTATGGCATACAAAAGCCACAAGACATAAAAAGCTGCTGCAATTCACTGTACTGTAATAGAACATGCAGAGGAAGTTAATTTTGGCAAATGCTTTAAATATTAGCTTTGCATAATATGTATAGGTGAAACTATAATTAGGGCAGAATGAATCCTTTGGAGCCTCCTTTCACTCTGACCCTGCAAATGATGACTTCTTGCTAATAAGACTACTGCCATTTGACAAAAAGCCAACTTCACTACCTTGCTTTATTCTTTAGTAAATTTAATAATTACAGCTACTCCTGCCAATAGTTTTCAAATCAGACTTGTTCAATCCAATACTGAGCTTATTAGGGACACACTATGCTTAGAAATCTTTGGCCAAAAAAGTACTTGAAGATGATGAAGCATGCCTTAGACAAGGGCACAATGATTAGTCATTTTCACCATATTCACCATGTGGTCACTACAGATCAGAAAATCATGTGCTGTTAACTCACAGCTATTCCTAAAAGACTCTGTATTTATCTGGTCCTTAATACCTTTGAGGAAGTCCAAAGGGAATGACTCAATACATTTAGAGAATATTATTGCCCAGAGTGTTTGGTATCAGTATTATGCTCATCTATTTACATCTTTTCCTTTGCTTCTTATGCAGTGACTATTTGATAGCGGTAGAGTAAATTCTGTATGAAATACAAACTTAAGAATTCCTTTTACCTAAGCAAATTCGATGTATTGCTTTGTTCAAGAAATATACTATATTACATACAAAGAACAATTAATATTTTCACACAACTATGTTTTTATAGTAAAATAGTGTTTATTTTACTATAAAATATAGTTAATAAACCCTCCATTTTACTATACCAAATCAAAGCAGCTAATTTTAAGTTGTATGAATTATTGTGTAATTTTTTGCATATATTGCTCGATTATGCCCCTTTTATATCTGAGAAATAACTTAAATCTTATATTTCTATTTCACCTGTGTATTTGTGTTCTAGACAAACTATTTGTACCTTATAGTCAACCCAAAATCCTAACCCTACTTCCTTGACCTCTAACCTCATCTCTTCACTTGCATTGTATGCCATAAATCTATGACCATGGTTACATCCTAGATGTTTTATTCATTTATAACTCTTCTACCTTTAAGAATCAAACTCTTCCTTGATTGCCTACTCTTTAACCACAATTGCCTAGTGTAGTGTATTGTGTTTTGTAGAGTCCTTCAAGATAGACAGGAAAGAAATCAACAGGATTCTAGGCCTCTTACTCTGCTGTAGTTCTACTTTTAAAAGTTTTACAAATTGGGCTTTTGTAAAATTTATTTGAAGAGGTTCCACTACTTTAAAAACTGTTTTAAAAACACGCGTTCTAACATACTCATGCTCTCAGTGGCTGTGTATTAGTCACATGCAGAGCTTTTAAGAATCCCAGCAATCCCGGATATCAAAATTTCTATGGATGGGACTAGAGCATCAGGATTTTAATGTGTAGACAAGGCTGGCAACCACTGTTCTAGCTACTTATTTCCAACCTCATCTATTTTCTAACTCTCTAGATCACTCTATTTTCTGCCAACTTATTAGTCACTTCCTGGTAGCAGTTCAATCCTTGACCAAGCCTAGGTTCCATGGCTAAAGCATATACCCATGTTCTGAAGTCCATAGTTCCCTAGTAATTCTGACACATTCATGTTACTACTTGTTGACTGGTACAACCAAAACTCTGTGGTTTCTGTTTTCTATTATAGGGCTCTCGGTAACTTTTGTCAATTCTCTTAATTACTGAATTACTTCCATCTTCTGCTTTTTTCTGGTCTCAGAACGAAGGCTAATCCTAGTACCTATACTTTCCAGCTCATCCCCTCAGAGACTTCTCTCTATTAATGATACCCTTCCCACTTACTTCTTTCTCATCTTATAAATAAGCTCAACTCTCTTCATCCTTAAAACCCCTTTAACCCTAAATCATTCTTTAGCTTACCTATTGTTTTGTTTTTCTGTTTCTTTCTTTTTTTAAGTTATCCTTCTTTAAAGAGTACTGTCCATTGGATGACTCTACTGCCTTACTTCCTTTTTGCTACTCAATCCACAGCCATGAGATTCTGCCTCCTACTTCTTTGCTGAAACTAAAGCAGACATACTTGTCAGTCCTTTTGTACCTGACCTCTCTTATCATTTAAGACCGTTTGTACTTGACCTCTCTTATCATTTAAGGTCAGTCTTTTAAAAAGCTTTCTCCTCTCTTGGTTTCTGAGAAATTATTCTCTGCTGGTTTTCCTTCTTTTCCAATGTTTTCGTGTCAGAAGCTACATGTGTAAACAGAGTCCTGACAAAGTTTTCTCACTAAGGTCTAGATCTGTATATACAACTAATTGTCCACTAGATGTCTTTACATGAATATCTAATAGGTTCCCCCAAAACAATCATGTTCAACTGCCCTACTCATTTTCTCTCCCAAATCTGTACTTTTTCTAATATTCTTACTCTACTTTGGGGAAAATCTACCAATATCCAAGTCAGATTCTAACCAGTCAGAAACCTACTTACTTAGGTAAATACTTGGATTCCTCCTTTTCCCTTACCTGCCTCAAAGCTTTTTGACTGTCTCCCAAATATTTCTCATGCCCATCTCTCCTTTCCATTCCTACTACCATTCCTCAGTAATTCAATAAAAAGTTTAGTTTAAGCCCTAAGCAACTATTGTTTGACCTAGTCCAACAGCTTCATGATTGATCTCTCCGCTTCTGGGTTAATGGTTCAAATCAATCTAATATACTTGGGATTTGCAATCTTTTTCAATAAAGAGCTACATAATAGATATTTCTGGTTTGTGGACAACATGATTTCTGTTGCTATTAATCAACATTGCTGTTGTTACACAAAAGCAGCCGTAATGATACAATAAGAATGTATTCCAATAAAACTATTTATAAAAACAGGCAGCAGGTATGGGTCATAATTTGCTAAATTCTATAAAACACTACGTCAAATTTTATACAATTTTGATCATGTATCTCTCCCTCACCCCCTTTTTCTGAGTTGAAGTCTCATTCTGTCACCCAGGATAGAGTGCCGTAGCATGATCCTGACTGCTACCGTAGCCCTAACCTGTTTGGCTCAGGCAATCCTTCATCCTCAGCCTTCCAAGTAGTTGAAACTACAGGCGTGCACCATGTCCAGCTGCTAATTTTTCAATTTATTCTAGAGATGAGGTCTTGCCAAGTTGCCCAGGTTGGTTTCAAATTCCAGGGCTCAGGCAATCCTCTTGCCTTGGCCTCCCAAAGTGCTGGGATTACAGGCATGAGCCACCACACCCAGTTATATTGCCCCTTCTTAAAATCCTACAGTAATTGCTGGGCTTCTCTGGACTACTTCTGTATCTTGTACATATTTTTTTTGGAGATGGGGCCTTACTCTGTCAACCAGTCTTAAGTGTAGTTGCATGATCATAGTTCATAGCAGCCTCATACTCCCAGGATCAAGCTATCTCTAGCCTTGGTCTCTCAATAGCTGGAACTACAGGAATGTGTCACCACATCTGGTTATTTTTTTTGTAGAGATGGGGTTTCACTATGTTTCCCAGGATGTCTGGAGCTCCTGGCTTCAAGCAATCCTCCCGCTTTGGCTTCCTGCTGGGATTTCAGGTATGAGCCATCATGCCCAGCCTATACTTCTGTTTTTACATTCATGTTATAATGTTATTTGCTTATATCTTTCATAGCAGAGAGTGAACTCTTTGAATGTAGAAACAATGTGGCTTAAAAAATGTTATTGAGTTCATTATGTACTAAGACTGTGAAAACGGCTTTACATATATTATTTTTCTTAGTATTCAAAACAATGCTGAGGGAGCTAATATTTTTATTTGTATTTTACAAATAAGAAAACAGTCACTCAACAATTAAGTAAGAATAAAAGTTCAATAATACCAAGTCTATCAGACTCCAAAGCCAAATTTCTTATTGTATGGAAATCCTATGATATATAAAATATCAAAAAGAACGTCCAAGAACAACTGAATCAGAAGCACAGGTTGGGTATCCCTAATCTGAAAAGCAAAATGTTCCAAAATCCGAAAATTTTTGAGCATCAACATGACACTCAAAGAAAATGTTGTTCACTGGAGCATTTCAGATTTTGAATTTTCAGGTTACAGATGTTCAACTGGCAAGTATAATACAAATATTACAAATTTTTAAGCACTTCTGGTCCCAAACAATTCAGATAATGAATTCTCAACCTGTATAAAGAGAACTTCATCACATATAATACTGGTAATTATTCATATAGAGTTAATTCTTTTTTTTTTTTTTTTTTTT